TGTGGTTTCAATCTGTTCCGCATTATCTTCAACATAACCTTACTGGGGTGGCTTATTAGACTGATGGTGCGGTAGTTCTGACATAGTTGCAGGTTACCTTTCTTGGGGAGTGTAATCACTAGTGATTATGTCCATGGTGTTGGCCACTTTCCTGTCTGCCAGATCTTGTTGCAGGTGACAGTCAGAGCGCTTATCATGTCCTTTCCCCCTGCCTGTATCAATTCTCCTGGGATGTTGTCCACTCCTGCCGATTTCCCCTTTTTCAGTGCTTTAATTGCTGCTTCTACTTCTTCTCGAAGGATTGGGTGGTTATCGATGTTGGTTGCTGGGGGAACGTTTAGAATCTCCGGGTTTCACGTGGCTTTGTAGTTGTACAATTCTGAGCAGTATTCTGTTCATCTCTTCAAAACGTCTTGTTCCTCTTGTCAGGCATTTTCCTTGTTTGTCTTGAATGGTGGTGGTGCGACCTTTTTAGTGCATGTCAGGTCTTTTACTAATTGATATGCTTTTTTTGCTGTTGTTTGTCCTCGGGCTGCTTTCGATTATTTGGCATTGTTCCTCTATCCAATTTTCTTTTGCCCTTTTCATACTTGTTTTAATTTTTTGGATGACTGCTCTGTACTCCTTCGCACCATCTGGTTGCTTCTTTTCTCCTTTAGTTTTCTCCTTTTGTCACACAGGTTAAGGACGTCAGTTGTGACCGAGGGCTTTTTGACTCATCGATGTTTTCCGAGTATCTGACTAGCTGTTTTAGTCACTGCTGTAGTGAAGGCGTTGATCCACGTGTCCATGTCTGTGTCATTGTTGTTACCAGCATCAACGACAGTGAGTGGTGCACATTTTCCTCCTGTCATGGCTTGGAAGGTTTCTGCTACTTCTGGGCCCTTTCGTTTTTCGAGATCAAACTTCATCCTTGTGTTTCCTTGCTTTTTAACCCTCTTCAGGTGGAGGCGAAAGGTCATCATCACAAGGTTGTGGTCGCTCCCAACGTCTGCTCCTGGGAATGTTCGTGTTTTTCCAATTTTGACACTGGACTGGAAGCGCTTTTTCACCATGATGTAGTCAATCTGGTCGTGATGTTCTCCACTTGGACTGTGCCATGTCCATCTCCGTGATGTAGTCAATCTGGTCGTGATGTTCTCCACTTGGACTGTTCCATGTCCATCTCCGTGATGTAGTCAATCTGGTCGTGATGTTCTCCACTTGGACTGTGCCATGTCCATCTCCGTGATGCTTTGTATTGACCAAACGTGTTTGTCAGCACTAGGTTGTTATAGCTGGCAAATTCCAGGAGCCTTAGACCTCTTTCATTCGCATTATTGTCCACATGTTCCTTTCCAGTTCTTGTGTGCATCCTTTCCTACTTTTGCCTTCCAGTCCCCTTGTACAACAATGGTGTCTTTTATAGGGGTCTGGTCTATCACTTCTTGTATCTGGTCGTAGAAGCCCTCCACAGCCTGCTCATCGTAGTCTGACGTCGGGGCGTATGCCTGAATGATAGTGATGTTGAATGGGACTGCCCTAAGGCGGATGGTAATAAGCCGGCGAGAAATAGGGCGGCAGCCCATGACTGTATTCACGATGTCTTTGTGAATAAAAAATCCAAAGCCATTCATATGCTTGTCCTCTTCTCCTCTGAGGTACAACTTGTGGCCTTCGTGTGTCGTTATCTTCCCGAATTTCTTCCACCGCACTTCACAAAGTCCAAGTACGGCCCATTGATATCTGTCCATCTCGTACGTGAGCTCTTCTAGTTTTCCGGCTGTTCTCAGTGTCCGTACGTTCCATGTGCCAATGGAGATGTTGTTTCTGGCACGGATCTTCTGTGCATCAGTAGCACACTTTTCACCTCCGTTCTGGTGCACAACAGCGGAAGGCGCGGTCCTTGGTGACCCAGGTGACGACCGCTCCGGTATAGTGTACGCTAATTCATTGCTCATTAAACTCAACACCGCACACTTTTTGTAGCAAGCTCGGTACTATGCTAAAACCATAAACAATACAGGGTGTCGTTGTTGGGGTTCAGCCAGAAATTTCAGAGGGGGGGGGGGGGGATACAGTTTGCCCAAAAAGCGGGGGTCAACAGAGTGCTAGATTTGAAGCACAAATGGGCATGACACTGGGCACCCCCCCCCCCCCCCCCCCCGGCAGTTTCCTATGCAACACCCCCCCCTCACCCCCCCCCCACCCCTCCTTTTATACACATACATTGTCTTGTCCTTTTGTTAAAAAATAAAAGAGACGGCCTCGATCAGCTGTTTTGGAGAAATAGTTCCTTAGTTTTAAGGCAACGTCTTGGGGGGGGGGGGGGTATAAACAAAGTAATATAACCATGGTATTTAATTAAAAAGGAACAGCAAATTGAAACGCATGCGACCTCAATGATGGAAGATATGAAAGAAATTTTACTCATTGTATATCACAATGAGTCAATCAAAATAAACCCACTGTCACCCACTAACCACTGAACTGAAAACAACGCAGTCTTGCGGCTCATGCAGCCAGGTAAAAACAAACAAACAAAACTAACACTTAACTACGGTACTTGGTCTAAAAAAAATCCCTGCGCAGACTGTAATTAAATACTAATGATTATATAGAAAACAAATCTTTATATTTGTCGAATGTGCACGAAAATTGAGATTGTTTAGGTTTCGGGGAATTCAGAGGCACATGCAAAAATCAGGACAATTCGCCTCTCAGCTTCTGTGTAATGAGGTCTAAAAGTTGTCTATTTGGTGTTGTCCGGACTGTGTCTATAGCCACGCTTTGGTTTAAACTTTGCTCATCTCTGGTCGTGTTTTGGTTTAAAACGAAAATAGATTTCGGAATATCCGCTGTTCCTTTTTTCTCCCTACACATGAAAACACAGCTGCTAGATCTATTTTTTCGTCTCTCAAAACGTTAAAACACACAAATGGTTATAAAATTTAGTATTAATTAATACCGTTTGTTTAAGTTTATTAATAATAATTGCATTATGGTGGGGGGGGGGGGGTTGCTGTACACACGCATTTTTTGTCTATCCTGCGAACGACTTCGAGACTTTGCGAGACATCGGGCTCGCGGCTGTTCCATTTGTACAATTTTCTCCACTGTTTATGGTCGGCACGATCAAAAAACATTTTTAAAAATACATAAATTGTTGGACTACCAAAGTATTAAAAGGCACTACTTGGTGCTATTGTGGACAACTTGTGTAAATTTCCATACTTTCTGCGTTGTAATAACTTCTGTAGCTTTGACAGACCTTCGAAAACCTTATTGAACGTTTGTTTAGACAACCTTTAGCGCAAAAATGTGTTCACTATTAAATCAATTTATTGAAAGAAGATTTGCCACAAGACGATATCACAAGACGAGACAGGCAGAGAAATGAAGGAGTAAGAGCAGCTATCGGCACTGAGCCCTGCCTGCATTACATAAGAAAACAGAGAATAAAATGGCTTGGCCACCTGTTACGCATGTCACCTGACCAGCCAGCTTTGAGAGCCTACAACCCCAAGCACTCAGGCTATAGAGGAAGAGGAATGCCACGCAAAGGGTGGATCGAGGGTGTCAAGGACACCCTGAGAAAACATAATATCACAACTGAAAGAGCTGTGGAGCTGGCCTACCATAGAACACTGCATCTCCCCTTGACGCTTAACAGCAACAGAGGATGAAAAAGTAGAAGTAAGTAAATATTAACAGTGCATTGCTCGCCAGTCTGTCTGCATGTTCATAGCTGATAAAAACAACATGGAAAAGACAAATGCAGTTTCTATGACAACTTTAATAGATATAAAGGCCTTGAACATCTTGTTCTTACTGGGGGGGGGGGGGGGC